CGAACACACTCAACACACGCCTCTCTCATCAGGCATCAAGTCCGATTTCCAGATACAAGAGGCCAACGACGGCCTAGGCGTTGTTGATCTACTAAACTCTCTCGAGTTGGATGGGTTTGACGTGAATGATGACGACCTGCAGACGTATATATCCCCAGAAGAAGAATTGTCGCTAAAAAGAGCCCTTTTCGACGATGCCCATGGAAGAACTGCCTCCAACTGGACCTCCCTCCTCGACTTCCAGCCCCATTTTCTGAATGGAGACGATCCCAGCGAATTATTGCAGCATTTTGGCGTCGCAGATGTGCAACAAGCCAGAGCCATGTGGATGGAAAGCTGGAACGATGTGCTTACGAGCTACACGGACGAAGTTTGGGGTGACCTCGGGTCCCTCGCCCGACAAGCGCACCAAGAAATTGAAGGGGCGCGCGGAGATGGGACAGAAGCTACGACAGGCCCCGACGAGATGCAGGCACTTCAACGGCTCAGACAGATTCTGGCCCATGTTCGAGGCCGTTAATCGCGACGAGGGTGCTGTGCTGCGTGCAAAGCTTGCTCTGTGCATCAAGACCAGGGCCCGAGGGACTGAGGCCGGGGTTGCTCTGCCAACTGTCCTTCGCCCAATGACATCATGCGATTGCAACCCTCATTGGCGTCTTCCTACCCCCTCACCCTGCGAAGCTCAGATGCCCAGCCACCTCACCCACCCTGGCGGTCCTTTTGGCCTGGGTAGTCCGAGGGAATTTGCATGCATGCAACCCACCTCACCAAACCAACGAGGGCGGGGTTGGACAGCTCACCTTACTTCCTCACAGTAGTTCGAGTGCAGGGACGAGAAATTGGGCGAAAGCCTTGGCTGTGGCTGGTATCCAGCAGATTGACAGCGGGCAGGCTTTGACACTCGTGTAATCCTCCTGTTGGAGCAGCTTAAGAGCGACATACAAGTACTACTGTATTAGCTCTCCGGTCCATCTATCCTCCACTCTTCCCACAACCACACCGAATTCGTAGCCAGCTTGTGAGACAACTGCCCGATGCCATCCGGGACGGATAACTGACTATTCACTCCTGGATCGAGGAGACACCCGGCTTATCTATCACAAAAGGCAGCAACAGACACTCCTCCACTTCCGCACGGCTAGGGCGAGGAAACAGGAAGGCTACGTCAACTACGATCCGGGCCTGGCCCATTATAATCCACGAAATTATGAGGTTATCACGATGGACAACGCGACTGGCAATACTGGGGACCACAGAAATGGTTTTCGCCCTGAGCCCAACTCCGACTTCAACTGACACCAAGGCTATGGTTCCCACCGCCGCCTACGTGCTAGGCGGTGCGCCGTTGCAATTATTTAGACGTCAAGATTGCCCGGCTCGCACATCCAAATGTTCGGATTCACTAGGCGCGACATTTGATGGAATATGTTGCGCCACGGGACAAGTGTGCGAACTGGACGATAATAACCGGCCAGCTTGCTGTCCCTCTGGGTATGACTGAACCTCCGGCATTACTTCGTTACGAGACAAAGCCCGGCTAATTTGGAGTCGCACATTTTAGAGCTGTTTGTACCGGCACGGCTCCGACGACAGTACCGACTGCTACGGCAGTTTCATACGTCCCCAATGCCTACTTTCCATTCCCATACATAGCGACATCGCTCGATCGCGGCGAGTGTTCATCGGCCCTCAGCCAATGTTCCCGAAATTACCAAAGTTGCGTCACTCAATTAGACGGCAATGCGGGCTTCGGCGTTACTGTGATTGTTCCTGGCGGGGGTGGAACCACCGTCGCCGCAACCCGGCCGGACGTTGGAACATCGGCAACACCTATATGTTCCAGTCTTAGCTCCCAAGCATGCTACGGCTTGAACAATGACCAGTGTGCTCAATCAACCACGGTGAATGGCGTCGTCATCAACGCCGCAGCACGTCCGACAGCGGCATGCGTGGCCAAACTCGCGGCGGGCTTAGGGATCGCCGTGTTCGGTGCCATGCGATGAAGGGCAAATCAGACGATTATCAGTGCAAGCAGTTGGATCAACGTGGGAACAAAGTTGTTCACGTAGAGAAACGACTCGTGGAGTTCCGATTGTGTTGCGTTGTTTGTTTTCTTGCTCATTATCCGCTTAGATGAGATGGACAGGGAATACCCCGATTCTTTGCAGTACATCACTTGACTATTGAATGCGGCGCCCCGACATCTTGATTAATGTTCGTCTCTATCATCTTGTACACGTAGTCCAACAAAACGCCGGGTGCTTCGCACCGCGGTGTGGGCCCAAGCCTCGAGCACATCGCTGAGGATCTCAATCATGCGACTGAAAAAGAAAAGACTAATGAAGGAGATTCCGGCAATCACGGCAAAACAGACCCAGTACATCTTGGGGGTGTAGTGTTCCACCAGATCGGGTATCTCTACAGAGAAATAGCTGGTCATGAATGTTATGGGGAGAAAGAAGACGCTCAGCTTGGCTAGTACGGTAGCGCTCCTGCTCAGGCGTGCAGTCGCCTGCGAGTCCCTTTGGGCCGTGAGGTTGAAATACTGTTTAGCAGCATCGTCAGCAAACATTCAATACACTCGGCTCGAGCATGTTTCCCGGAAACCTACCGTGTTCGAGAGTGCGTTTTGCTCGTCTAGATACTCTTGGATTGTGTTGAGCATCAACAGTTGCAGTCTGTCTCCAAGGCGCTCGAAGCGACTTCTTGCTGACGACGATATATTTACCTCGCCGAACATATTTCCAGATAACTCTAGGCGTCCGCATTGACCCTCGTGACAGGCATCTAGGGACCGAGGCGACCAACAGATACGCTTGATGAGGCTTTTATAACCCTCAAACAAGTGTTGGAGTTGGCTGAGCTCCTTTCTCAGAGTATGTAGTGATTCAATAATCTCCCCTGTCTTAATCTTGGTTCTTCGACTCTTGCTTGAAAGTCAGTTCTCTGCTCCCGGTACGGCATCAGTGACCTACCGGCTTCAAGATTTGATCGCTCTGCAACGCAACTTGGTATCAGCAGGTATCCATCTTCGATTACAAGTCATGGTCGTCAAGACTCGGTCCTCGTGACTTACCAGTCGACCCAGCTCTTGCTTGGAAGTTCTTAAAACTGGCAGGGCCGATGAATAATCCTCGAAAAGATAATAGAAAAGATTACTCGAGCCCTCGCAGGCAGTGTTGCTGCCGAGTCCTTGGCGAGGCATCGCCTGCCTGACCGGCTTCAGCGAGAGAAGCCTTCGTTCGAAATCTTCTACGCCGTGCTTGGATAGTTGGCACAAAACGCTGGTGGTGTTGGATCTCGTATTGACGAGTTCTGCCATGGACCATTCTTCGTCTTCGGGGTATTCTGACGATGGCGTCTCGTGGAAAGATACCACGACGGCTATGTCGGTGATGAGCACGGCACGACGATTCGTACGATCATGTCGCAAACTTACAGTCGGAGCTGAGGGCAAGCCATGACCAGTGTCTGGGCGGTAACAGACTTGGACTATGTTCGGTGGCTTTAGAATGTGGCCGGGTGTGCAACCAGTTAGCACCGATGCAGAGGACTGGTCGATAATCAGCTATCTTCTGGCAGTACTTCTGGAATCGGGGTGTCCGAGAACTCACAGTCCTTCCCCTGGTCAATGGAGGTGTAATTGACCGTCTCCTTCACGAGTTGGTAGATCTGAAGCTCCTCCAACACTTGCGCCTGCGTCTGTCCTGGTGGTGGAAGTCCGAGGCCGTCAGACAACGACCCCTTCTCAACATCGCTACCTTGCGGTGACACCGGCGTCGCGTTGGCCTGCTGCTTGATGAATGACAAGGCCGGAGCCGTCATGATGGCGAGAAGTCTCCTGGAGAACCCGTACTGGGCGCCGATGCGTTCCACGGCTGGTTTCTGCATGCTCGGTGACCAGATATTGATCCATCGCACCATGTCGTCTTTGCGCTTTCGGGTGGCGAGCTGGTCGAAATCATCAGAGGTCAGATTGAAGGCGATGAAGGCCTCGTGGAGGTTGAACTCGACGACAAAGTTGAGAGCCTTGTCGTTGGCAGCCTCGGCCTTGACGCGAGTGTACACGGCTTCATCATCTAGATTCTGGAACTTGTCGTCCAACGTGACAGCAGCAGCGGCGGCGGCGGCGAATGGTATAGCCATGATCTACGACCATTGAACTTTTTGGCGGATAGCCATCAGTCAGAGCATGTGAGACTGAAAAGACTGTTTTTGATGCTAAAGTCTGCGATGATGCCTTGAGCTGACAGCCTTGGCCAGCAGAGAGCTGCACGAATACCTCAGCCCTACATCTTATGTCCTTGCTGGCCGGTGACCCCATGCAACAGAGAGTGGGAGGGCGAACCACTCGCTCACACTGTCTCACTTGATTCGCTGCAGAGGATCCGCCAATGTTGGTTCGCGGCGGCTATATGCACATGCGTCGGCGCCTATTTGAGGTTACAACAACACTCAGCCCGTATTTATGCAGCAGGGGTATCGGAGGCTGCCCAACGTTTGTTGAAGCGATTCATCTTGAGAAAAGACATGGTTTATCAAAGATATCATGTGTGTGACATGATAACTGGAGACGTGCGGCTGCCTCTATTCGCGTTCATGTTTCTCAATGTGGTAGTACTGATCACGAGTAACATTGCCAACGTGTGACAGCAGACACCTTGGACTTCAATCGTTAAGCGATAGCATCACATCAGTCATATGGAGTCTTCTGGGAGGTCACGGATGAAACTGTTGTGCGAGTGCAAGACAATTGGGTCTGCGGTCTCTTGTTACCTTGGGTCTAACGTCTATACCGGGGTCCTTTTTCAAATGCCGTCTTGATATCAGCTACTCGAATCACCCACTTAGCAAACAATTGTCTCATTTTTTACCGGATCTAAGACTTAACAGCAATCTTCCCCTTTCACGCATCATCTAAGCCAGTCGTCATCCGGCAACGCGCCAGGACCTCTCGTACTTTCCCCCATGCTCATAAAGCTCAACTTCTCGCAGATACTTCACTCAACCATTGCCGGCACGAGAAGACTCTCCAAAATGCCCAGAGTAGACAAAGTACCTCGCCCTCTAGACTGAGGATTTCCAGGGCCATCCAAGGAGATTCGAAGAAACTGACGGGCAACGTTCTCCGCCTCCTCAAGTCGAGCCTCATCTGTAGCATCTAATCTAGCACACACCACCCCAAGGTCTTCATTTCGGGCGAGGAGCAGTACAATAGCCTCAGCTCGCTCGACCACTGCAGTATCAATCCCATTCAACGCTGCACATCTGCTCCCGAAACTTGACGTGCTCCTTCCGGGAACTAGACTGTAAAGAAAAATCACTTGGTCCTCCATCTGGTTCGCGTCGATATCAAGACGGACTTCCATGTGCACGAGCGATAGCCTTGGTCGCTCTTGAAGATAACCTCCTTCGAATATCTCATGATAATGCGTTGTGATCAGAACTTTGGGGGACTGTAAACCGAGCGTGCTGAAGTGGTCAATGAGGGCAGTCATCAAACCAGCTCCATCATCAGCTGCCGTCCCTTTGCCAAATTCGTCGATTGCCACGAGTGTTCGACGGGTAGCACGATTCAACAGGAAGGCCACCTGCCTCAAATCGGTACCAAATGTACTCTCCGCTTGCGAGACGCTTTCCCGCGTCGAGATACGTGTTAGAATTTGGTCCGTGAGGCCAATCGTCGCGCCGGTAGCGGGCACGAAGCTGCCGATATGGGCGAGGTAAACAATGAGGGCAACCTGCTTGACATATACACTTTTCCCCGAATGATTTGGCCCTGTGATAATGAGAGTGCTGATGCCAATGTTATTGTTGTCTGGCATCGATGTTGGTGTTTTTGCTTCATCGGCAGAGCCTCCGATAAGAATACAATCATTGGGGATGAATGCAGGCACCACCAGTTCCTGAAGGGGGTGACGTCCTCCGTAGATTGACACAATGTTGTCTTCTGTCATAGTGGGACATATCCAGCCATATTTGAGTGCTCCGCTAGCAAGGGCTACAAGGCAGTCAAGTTCGCCGCAAACATCGGACACGCGACTGAGGGTAGCCTCATGTTCGAGGATCTTACAGGCTAGACCGTGCAGGATATCAACCTCGAGATCTAGAGAAATCTTAGCAAGGTAATCATTTTGTCAGTAGGACTTCGCCACGAACCAACAATCCTGCTGTAAGTGTCCCCGAAGTGGTCATCTAAGTCCATCATGAGGTTGTTCTTGAAGTATACATTGTCGTTCGCCGTGAATCTTTGCTCCCAATGGTCACCGGACAGTCCTTGACCTTCGTAGCCTGCCTGAGTGCCCTCGAGTAAAGGGACAACAGTGAGGAAGCCCAATTGCGGCCAAAACACACAGCCTGTGACGAATTTGCGAGCCCACGTCGGTAGCTCCAACGACAATGTTGTGCTGACCTCGTTTAACAGGGATTCTAGCCCTTGGTAAGTCTGCTTCAATTCATCGAGTTCAGTGTTTACGTGTAATTTCACAGCGATGCGTGAGTTTGCCTTGGTTTCCTCGAAATCGACAACCTTTCCTACCAAATCTATAATTGCCGTCAACTTGTCCACTGCGACGACCTGCACCATCTAGTTGATAGAGTCAGCTCTCGCTTCGTCAGACGAGTTGCTACCATGGCTGACCTTTTGTATGATGACAAGGCCATTGGAGTTTCGCAGCTGAAGTATGGCGTCTCTGAGACGTAGCACATGGAGCGAAAATCGAGTAAGTGTCCACTAAACACCACGCTCGATTGAAGCCCAGCCAGCCGGAGATTCTGCTGCGCCTCTTTGCAACTGAGCCAGAGTTTTCTTGATATCTGTGACCTTTCGTAGTCCTTGAGATATGCTCGAAAAGGCCTCTTCGTTCCCCGGTTGCAGGAATACCGCAATGGTTGCTTGCCTCTCGCGGATCATGTCGATGTTGACTAGTGGGCGTAAGAAGAGTTGTTTGAGCCGTGCCTTGCCTTGAGGGGTGCCAGCGAACGGGTGAAAGATGCCGAATAGAGATAGGCTTTCTTTCGAACCGGAGACTGCTTTTCCCGTGCCGGAGATCAGGTTACTCGGATGTAATTCGGATTGGAATACTTGGAGGGAGGAGAGCGTGTCGGCGTTTACAAACATGAAGTCCGCCAAAGCAAACATCCGCAGCGACACTCCGAAAGCTCTCTCTATATTTTCTGCTGCCCGTTGAGCATTCTGAAGTCGTATAGTCTCGCACAGCACGGCACCGGCACAGCCAATCTATATGTGTTAGAATTGCATTCGACAAATATGGCATTTTCTTCATCATAGCTTACTGATGCAACGCTCTCCAGATCTACAAAAGACCCGAGACGCATCGTTTTGACATCTTGGCATTCCTCTCCGGGACCCTGCAAGCTGCGACTGGAGAGGCCGAATCCTGTATTCGTCACCAGAGCATGTTCCGAGGCGGCGATCGGTAGATTCGTTAACCTCTCCAAAGCAGCCGCGTGGCTGAATTCAGTTGAACCTAGAAGTCGGAGAATGTAGTTATCCCTTTCAGATCCTATGAGAATGATTCATGAGCGCCCAAAATCACAGCCCCTATCTCAAGGAATGACTGACCTCGGTCCACATTACTTTGATATTGCTCAAAGAAGTGAAGAATCGCATCCGGTACTTTCAGGGGTAGCAAGACGGTCGTTGGTTGAATGTGCAGCATGAGCATTTCGACAAACTGCAACGGCGCAGTGCAGGACATATCCTGCAGAAGAAATAAGCTGTTTTCGTCTGTATCATAATAGGCACAACCAAGGACACCTTTCACTTGAACGGAAATGGCCATAAGAACCTCGTTCCTCCGCTCGACTTGAGCCATTCCTTCTCTGCCAAGGAGTGACGATGCCTCGTACTCGCTGCTTGACAGTGGTGGGGGCATTTGACGATTGCCGAATTCGACTTCAGCAGCAATCGAGGGCAAGAAATAGTTGTTGGACGGCAGTGTCAGTCGATTCGCGGAGTCTACGAGGTGATTTTGATATCCGGAATCTTCAATGTATTGTCCTGCAGATGGCGAAATCTCCTCAAGTGATGGTACACGGGTACGACGTGGGCTCGAGAAAATGGGCGAGGTGTGGTGCGGACCAACGACACTGGAACTACCGCGCGATCCTCGATATGCATGAGTGGAAGATCCCCTCGAACGACGAGATGTACATGAGCTCCCTCTTGAGCTGACATCCGAGCCAGTCCATGATTCACCTCGTTGGCCTCCCCACGAGCCCCTCTGCGAGCCACCTCTCGACCGGTCTCTGGAACCTCCGTGGAGGATACTCCTGCGAGGTCGACCACGCCAAGGACTGGACATGGCGCTGCCTCGTCCCGGCATTGTTGGGCGTGCGAGTAAATGGGACGGAATGACGAGGCGTTTAGAACTAGACACGGCGAGAGAGAACAATGAGTAATATATGTCCTTGGGGGAAAGAACCGCTTGGCAATCCAGGCGTGATTTATTGTGTGAACAATCCGAAAAGGAGACGAAGAGAAGCCCAGAATGGCAGAACTTAGGTAGTGGTAGGAGGCAGGACTAACACGAGCATGTCCAGGTAACTGTGGCACGATTTCGCTCGCGGCAAGTTCAGATAATTCTCGGCTCTAAATGTCAGGGACCTGAACTTATCCCAATTCAGTCGTGCTTGCCTCGGAGACAATGGGAAGGTTGGTAAGGCAAGGTGCCCAGGGTACTTGCCTAATCTTGTGTAGAAGGCGCTCCTGGCGCACGTTGATTACCTAGCTCTGACACCATTTGGGTGCCCCAAAGCAAGCACGGCGGGACCGCGAAAGGAGTGCCAGCCTTTGCTGATCTTCTCGATGGTTTCCTGCATGCGCAACCGTCGGGGCTACTACGTATGAGCGGGTATTTAGGGTAGGCAATTAACTTTGATGAAGCCAGGTTGCCTTCCGACGCGACCTCGAGCACTTCTACGATGTCAATGTGCCTGGGAAGTGGAACAGTCTTCTCTGCCGTTCGTTTCCTGTTGGATTATCCTTTTCTCAAATTCCTGTAACAGTGGTGAAAGAAGCACTGGATCTAAATACCTTGCCTATTGCATGATGAAGGGTCAAATTCATCGTAGGGAGCTGTCTTCCGAGGCCATTACGATGAGCACTCTGACATGGGCGTGCCCACATTGAAAATACGTTGCAGGCATGTTGTTGGCTTGACTATGTTCATTCGCCATTCCAGAACTCAACCCGACTTGGCCGTGGTTCCGGCCTTTCCCCCAGCCTTGACCCAGTTCGTAAAGTCTCTCTTTTGTTTCCGAACGTCGGCGAAGCCGGGCCGGCTCTCCAGAATTTGAAACGGGTTGCCAACGTAGTCCTTCTCCACCTCCCCGCTGCCCGTCAGGAATCCCAACTCGCCCTCTCGTTCAATTTTGCCTGCCCACACGCGCCATTCGATCGGCCGAAGATTGGGTGCGCCCAAGACCATACCCAGGACGACGATGAGGGTCGCCACGGCCGCTTCGATTGTAATGTCCGCCGGTAGCGACGTGGTGGCTGAGGCAGATGTTGCTAAAGGCGAAGCTGCTCGGAAGGATTGCAGCGCAGAGTGCTCTTGCGCAGAGTAGCAGCTGTTCAACAAAGCAGGTGTCAGAATAAATGCGAGCGAGGCTAGCCGGAGAACGGAACGTGGGAGAGAGAGACTCACGCATGGCCGAGGAGAAGGAGGCCAATGGCCGTGATCGAGCGCGAGATCCACGTCATGATGTAAGAGCGTAATTGACGCGAGCCTGTTGGTGTAATACCGATCAGCTGCTTCAATATGAACACTTGTTTTTGTCGACTGATTTGGTGCCGGAGAAGATTTGAGATTGTCCCAGGCGTACCTTAGCAAGCTCAAGAGCTCAGTATGTGGAGTAGGCGAAGGGCGACGTGCAGGATAGACCAGGCTACTAGCTAGAATGGTTTCAATGTTGAAGTCGATGGCGCCGGGAGCTTTGGCACGTACGTTGCTGTAGCCTCGTTAAAGTGGTTGAGTGTTACTTTGCGGAGAAGATAGTGCACAAACGAAGCTCCTGATAACGGACTAACACAAGGCCATACCTGGCTTAGTTACATACGGCCGACCCCACGTGTACCGCCGAAGTCCCCTCCGGATTGTCACTCGTGCATTACTACCTGGGGAAACATATCTACGGCTGGGTCTTATTGCCATATCATAAAACCTCGTGCTCACAAGGGATTTCCGACCTCCACTTCGCCCTCAAGCTGCCAGCCATCCCTAGAAGCGGGCCCGAGGGACGTGGCGTCGGGTTTCACAGCGAAGAACGAACGCCATCTCTACTGATCAGTAACCATTTCAGCTCTGGAGACCGCAGGTCTATCGGGATGGCACTGCAAGCTGGAGCAATAAGTAGGTACTTGTGTTTGGAAAGCCTTCAGCTACGGTGTGTGCGCCCTCGATGGAACAAGTCCCGGGCCTCTCTCCTCGTCTTCTCCCCTTTTCTTACTTCATGCTCGCTCGTTTGCCCAAGGACCGCCCTCAATAACATGGTTCATCTCCAGTCTCAACAAAACCAAACAGAAATGAGATTCCCGCCTACGTTGTAAGATACCCAATACTCCTGACGCCCTTCCTTTTCTCGGACAATGTTCAAACAACAGGAGCGAGTCGATTCCGAAGCAAAGCTCCTTCTGCTCATTCTGGTTCTATCCAACTGTTGGTGAAGTGGCTGCTGTCAAGCTCCTCCACTCTCCAACTGCTCTCTGGTCCTCTCAGGATCTGAATTTGAGGGTCTGTCAGAAGACTTTCATCATATCCCATACCATCCATCAGTTCCTGCCTTCCGTCGCCAAAGTTGAGCGGATTCGTCCATCGCGGTAGCATGTGATTGCCATACATGTCGCCGTACGGATGACCTCCATGGCCCATTAGACCCGGATCAATTATCGGATCGATGCCGTCAGGATGCGACATTGGGCCGTAGTGGTCGATGCCGTCGTACCGGTGGTCCATCGATGGTGCTGCGTAGCCCATCGCTGGTGATGGCGTCTTCCTGATGAGCACGTCTTCAACAAAGCCGGTGGCGTCCTGACGCTGTTGGACGCTCTGCTGGTAGTACTGGCCGCCGCCAAGGCCGTTCTGACTATATGGTGCTGGGAGAGGTTTTCCAGGGTTGCTGTAATGGTACATGGACTGTGTCTGCACGCCCAGACCCATGGGACTTGTCTGCAGTGGCGGGTAGTTGTGGAAGATGGACGCTGGTGCTTCGTTCCTGCCGTGTCCGGGTTTCCTCACTTGCCTGCTCCTTGAGCTTGCGCGGCTGCCATTCCATTCCATGTCATCCATGTCGCCTTGGTCTGAGTCCTCTTCTTCTCTCGCTTTGGGTCTTGGTTTCGAAGGCGTGAACTTGTAGCCCGGGTGAGCAAGCTGGTGATTCGCGCGCTCTTCCTTCGCCCACTCATTAAACTGGTCCCGAATGTGTTCCGGCTCCAAAGGCCAGCCGGCACCGCAGACCTGAGATACAAGTTGATGGTTATTTTGCGTACAGAGGCTTTTGGCGAGGTTCTGATACGCCTTGCGGTACAACATGAAGGCGTTCATCGGTCGCTTGATTCGGCCTGGGGTCTTGCTCTCTTCGACCTCCTTCATCCGTATTTCTGAAGATCGCTGAACATAGGCCCCAATGTCCGCTACTGGGATGTGCGGTTGCTCCTTTGCCAATTCGCTTAGTGGGCTCTTAACGACATCAACCTTTTTGGCAGACTTTGCCCGCTCCTTCTTCTTCTTGGGCGTTGACTTTTCAACACGTGATGCTCTCACTGCAAGGGGCTTGATGGTAGTTGGCCCCTTCTGGATGCTGAGACCGCTACGTGTGGTCAGCCCATCTGGTGGCCTCGACGGCGTGGGTGGCGACGTGTCAGGGGTGCTGTACGGCTGTAAGGAAGCATGTGAGTGTCTGTATTGCCAAGTTGAACAACGAAGTAGCTTACCTGGTGGCTCAACTCCCCGGACATAGGGCCATATATGGAGCTGACGCTTGTGTCATATCCATGACCATACGACTGTCGAGGCTTGTTTAGTACATGCTATATTGACACACGTGGAGCTGAGCTCGGGACGGGACTGCTTACCATCTGACCATCATGTGGGCGATGTGAGTATGGGGAGTGGTGATCGTATTGCATTTCTTGTCGTGGACCAGGCGTACCGTATCGAGAAGGAGTTTGCATGCCTCCCATATCACTCGGGTGTAAGTGCTCTCGCGGGTAGGATGTGGCTCCTTCCGGGCGTATCAAGTGATGCAGTCCGTTCGGGTAGATATCATCGTTCGAGGGAGCAGGAGATGGGGGACCGTTTTGTTCCATCCCACAGAGCTAAAATCAATGAGGAAAGCTGTTGGAATTATCTGTCGTCGACTGCTAACCAGTGTTGGGTCAACAAGTAGCAAGGAGAGGGCGAAGACGGTGGACTGAGAGACGATGAAGCAGACCAAGTGATTTCTCTCGACGTTGCCTGAATCTCAAGTTGTCGCAGATCCTCGGGGGGGTTCTGCTTCTTTTCCTAATTCTGGTGGTTTTGCTCTTGTCTTCACTTGCGGCTGTCTCGGCACTTGTGTATGGGTAAAGTAGTCGTTGGACGACAGGCAAGTGTTGAACTCCGATGGTAACACAAGGCAATGCCTGGGTCAGGTGACGGATGTGTATGGCAGCAGACGCAGGCTCCCAGGTGAGTAAAGGCGAGAGGGAAGAAGACAGGTATGGCAGCGGTGGAGCAGATGGCTTGAAAGAGGCAGCTGCACCCACAGATTATCTACATTCAGTAGATGTCGAGGAGCCGATGGTGGTGTTAGGCAGGGGGTGGTGTATGCATGAGAAAGAAGGAGAGGGTGAGCTAGGTAGGATGGATCGGACGGGGGAGAAGTAGTAGTCCCCGGTGACCAGAGAGTGGAGGGAGGGCTATAGAGAGAGGCAGAGATACTACGGGCAGCTCGTTCCTGAGAGGCCCTTGTGCCGTTGGCTATCCAGGAAGTACCTGGAGTCTCTGCCTGTGTATGTGTCTCTGATCCGTATGCCTATTGCAGACGCAGCTGCAGCTAGCTGCAAGTATGCAGTGAGTTGCGGTGCGGTGTTGCAGGGACCAGGGATGGCCAAGATGGAGGGCGGGTGAACGAGGTTGCAAGCAGCCGAGAAGCAGGGATTGGTGGTGATCTGGAACCGTTCTCCTGGGATATGGGAAGCAACCACAATGTCCAACTGATGAAGGCCTGGTCAGGCCTGGTCAGGGTCAGGCTTATGAGGGTTGGTAATATGACGAGAGGCCAAGCATGAGAAACTCCATGAATAGCCTGTCTTCTTTCTCTTTGATGGTAGGTGGGGGCGAGAGCAAGTGAGAGAGAGGCGGTAGAGTGCTGATGCTCTCGGGTGGTATCTTCGGGCTTTCTCTTATCGGCTTTGAGTGTTCTTGTTGTTGTTCAGGCGGTTGTTCGCTTCTCGTTGTTCCTCGGTGCTTCTCTTCTCTTTTTCTGCTCGTCTCCGGTGCACATTGGCTATTCTTCTGATCCCCGCTCTTCCGGTCCCAAGATAGCAACGTTGGGTGAAGATGGTGATGGGTTGCCGCCCCGCGTCTCTTTGCCAGCAGGGTTTCTTTCACTTTCTTTCTTGGTCCCTCGGGAGTGCGGCGATGTTGCAGAGGGGTAGGTGGGGAGTTGAAATGGGAATAGAAGGCAAGGGTGAGCTGAGCTGAGCTGAGATGGCTGTATGTGTGGATGATGTGGGTGTGTATGTGTGTTAGAGAGAGAGGGGGGGAGAGAGCGTGCCAGATGGATGTCTGAGGGTCTCAATCTGAATCGGAATCCGAATCTGAATCTGAATTTCAAGCGAATAAGAGATCCTGGCCGTGCTCAAAGAACCCCAGAGGCATATAGAAAAGGCCAAGGGAAATCGGTCTTTGTCAGAAGGGAGAACCGATGAGAGGATTCATTCATTCAACCCTTTGCAAGAGGGGAGGGGCGAGATGGGGAGTGAAAGAAAAGCGTTCGGCCGGGCTGGATGGTTTTATGTCTACATGTTACGCATGTGCATCTGGGCAAGTTGGGACTCTGCTTCTTTTGCTTTAGCCTCCCTTCTATGCCGTCGCTGGCTTCTCTGTGTCCGAAAGAGCATCTAGCTGATTGCCGCATTCGGACATGGGGTTGAAAGCGGCGCCGGGCGGCCGTACCAGCCTTACCAAGCCCTCACCACCAAATGGCAACTCATCTGTTGGTGCTGCTGTGTCTGTTTGGCCGTCTTCGGTTAAAGCGAGCGAGAACGATCCCCGCCCCTGCTAAGGCCGGGGGACGCTGGTGTCCGGTATCCTGGTGTTAGGTTGTGTGTCCATATCGCGAGCTCGGCCATATCGTCGGCTGCCATTATGATTACTCGTGTCAGGCGGTCCCAAGTGGCCAACGCGGCACGGAACCATTGCCATGTTATGCCATGCCATGCCTTGTTCCTACAATGTCTGGGTCCTGGACATGTACACGAAACTGGTCAATGTTGACGGGGGCGGTAAACGACGCAAATACACCAACATGAAATAGCGGCAGAGACGATGTGAGGAGCGCGGTGCGGCACGACATTGCTCACCAACAAGCAACAGGGGATATAAAGACAGGGCGGGCATCGCTAAGGTGGGGAGACACCTTCCTCCCATATGAAGTCTGAAGATGTCTTTCTGCCACAATTGCACGGGTGGTGCTGCATCTGCCTCGTCTGATGTTGCTACCGGCGCGGACGTTCAAAAGTGACGAGACGCATCGCTTCCCTCTTGAACTGACGGCATGGCTCCCATCTGAACAGGGGTTCAGGTCTCGCTCTCTCCCCTCAGCCTTCGTCATTTCATCCCGTTTTCCCCCACCGGTTCACGCTGACAGCCGGTCAGTTCAAGACCAAGATCCATCTTCTGGCAAAGCCATTTACGAGGGAACTCACTCAAGTTCCAACTTGACTGATGGCCTGTTCGCTTCTCCTCGCCCTGTCCTGCACCCTTGTCTTCCACCCATCCTGCTATTTTATCGTGCCCATTCATACATGATTGAGCTTCTGACAGTGTTTACTCTGACAGAGCTTCCCCCTCCACTCACCCCTCCCCTTAGCTTAGCCACGCCTCCCCGGATGTCTGTGCACGTGTTCGTCTCTCCCTCCGCGGCTGAACATGCCTTTTTTTTTTTTTTAGCATGAACACTTATGATGGAAAGCAGGGAGGGAAACACGGTGCAGGATTTTCAAAGTAGTGTCGGGAGAGAGGCCGAAGCAAGGAAGGCCATGCCACAGTCGATATAATATCGTGTGAGGCAAAGATTGACAAAAGGAGTCGATGATGATACAAAACCGCTGGTGACCGGGGATGGAAGATGCGATGTAAATATCTGAGGTTTGTTCAGCTAGAACCAGCCGGATAATCAGGTTGAAGAGCGGCTAGATCTTGTAAGTACCTTGCGTAGCATCAAGAGCAAAATGATCGGCAACGTGGAGCCCTGGCCCGGAGGAAGAAAAGCAACGAGCCCAGAGGATAAAGTTGGGAATGGTGGGAGTGGGAGTGGGAGTGGGAGTGGGAGCGTGGGACGCACTGCCCTCCCCGTCCTTCACCAAGGACCTAACCAACGCAGCACCTCACGCAAGTTGCAACCACGCAAGACGGTTTTGGCAGGGAAGGCGAGGCAGGCAGGCCGCACAGGCAGGCAGGGCAGGCAGGGCCGGCAGGGAATTGGAATGTTTGTTTGCTCCTTCTGCTGCCGGAAGTGTTGGTGGCGTCACTTCTCATTGGTCTTGTCCAGAAACAGAGCGTGGCGCGCATTCCACCTCGCTCCTTCTTTGACTCTTCTATGTCGGTCCTTCCTTCCTGCCATGGTGCGTGGGGATCGGTGCATGTCCGTCTCTCTCTTTCCCGTCTCGTCTTGGGCAAGTACTGACATGCCTACCTACCTTAGGTACCTGACCTTATTCGGTACGTGCCTACTTCAGAAATCTGTTGCTTCTCGTTCCCTCCTTCCGACTTTTTTTGTCTCTTACAGCAGAAGGTAAAGTACCTCAAGGTATTTTCATCTTGGGCGGCGCCTTGGATTCTCCGTCCTTCAACCGAAGCATGAGATACGGAACTCAAATACTTAGGTTTCTCTCTTTTTCCACCAAGGTAATACTGTATGTCATATCTCAAGCCATGGCCAACGTTCTTTTCGCTATTCTCACTCGTCTGACATCCTCACTCTGTTCGTTCGCTTCATCACAAACATGCAGCCCCGGTATCTGCATCGTCAACCGTGCCCTTGCATCAGAACCCGGCCTCGCCATTTCGGGCCAGACCAGCAGGTGGCCACGACCGTCCAGCTGGTAAATGAAGACTACCTTACCTTACGGATGGATACCTTGCCCTCCTTTCCAAGAGCCAACCGACAATATTCGAACATACGTAGTACCCTTTCCCCCAGCCGACGTCGGAAGCCTGGCCTTGGTCAGTCGTTACTGGGTGCTCAAGCACCGTGTACACCTCCTCCAATTGCAAAGCAAATTTGTTTCTCGTTGTTTCCCATTCAAACCCACATCAATAGGAAACACTCGCAAATCATCCCCACAGTGACCAGGGCCTGCCCGACACGCCCATGATACTCAACGCGCGCAGCAGAAATCGGCATCTGAACTTCATTTTCAATCATTATACATCTGCTCAATCCTTCATCTTGCATAGCACATCATCCACTCAGCAACTATCGTTTAGATTCTCCCCAATTCTGCTACGATGTTCCCCGCTCTTAGTCGTTCTCGGCCAGCCAAGCATCATAAAAAACCATCAGGACCTTCTGATCCTGGGCCAAGACTGAGGTGAGGCATACCTGAGGTACCTACTTAGTGTTGGCCTAACCGGAGAGATGAGAGTTTCCGGCCCATAAGGTTCATATATTCGGCTAGCCCGTTGTATTCCGAAGGATGCCGCCCTCTGCAGAGTGCGGGAGAGCTACCGCCCTCTCTCAGTCAGCCTCTGACCTAGTCGGTCTTCTCTGGCCTCTAGACTCCAGTTCAGCTTCTCCATCTTCCTCGACTTTGGCCATACCGCCATGCTTCCGGACGCCGCAAGAGACTCTGCCCGGTCGTCTGTCATCCGAACCACTTGCCCGTCATTCTGCGCTTGCGGCTTACGCCTGCAAGCTACTATGCGCCATGTCTTCGTCCGTGCCTCTTGGCTCCAGATCTGGCCCTAGAGCTGGCTCAGAAAATCCCCTAGTCTGCGTCTTAGTGTCTCGTCCTGACTCTTGACGGCGGCCCCATCTCGCCTCTTTTTCGCTCTCTTCTCCACATACGCAGGCACTGGCCGGCCGCGCTGCAGGCACACAGGAACGGCACCGACGGTGGCACGGTGGGATGGATGGATGGTTGGATGCTGCATCCTCAGGCCCCATGTCGATCCCAACGGAGCGCATCCAATGGCATCCGATGATTCCAGCCTCTGGCCCCCTCCAGGTCAAATCTACATACAAACTACCACACTACCCACGAACACCACGTTCTCAGTGCTCACACACCAAATCCCCGACTCCCGTAGGCCCCTGCTCTTTGCACCCACTGGCACCTCATCTCCAGACGTCCAAAGGCTACGGATACCGCCACATGCATCTGCGCTTTCAACTCGTTTTCCATTCATGCAAGGCACCTGTTCTTGCAGGAGCCATGCATCACTAGGCTGCTGTAACGGCCCCCCCGGCCGGTCCTTAACTCTTCGTCAGTATCCGCAGGAGGACTACATAGGAGTTGAGAATCAGAAATTCACAAATTTGAGTGAGAGATGATGCCTGGGCCCTGGACTCACATGCCGCCTCCGCCATTCCCACTAGATGGTATCCGTATCGGCGTTTACCTCAGGTCCAACACGACTCGGGCTCATCTTGGCACTGCTGCGAGGTAGGGTGGCTGATCATATATGTCTTCCGGCTCTAATGTAGCCCGCGGCCGTCTCCATTCGCCTCTCCGCTTTTCCGCATGTGCATGCATGGTAGCATGGGCACGCATGCCTCATGGCAGACGTGCAGTTTTCTCTGGAGACTGTCCTTTGCCCTCCTCTCATGCTCTTCGCTCATTTGCTTGCTCATATAATTCTGTTCAGGTCGTGCAGCCGGAAGCCATGCGGCGAGGTTGTGCCGAGGTGCAAGTCCACTCTCGACTACCTCCCTTAAAGTCACCATTAAATCAAGGACGCCGTTGCTCTCCAACCCAAGGATGGCAATGTGCCATCCCCGGTGATAGCACACAGCGACGGCAGGGTGCGACCCCCCGTGGTCCCGTAACGTAAGCGTGGGGGAAAACACGCCAGTGGACCGTGGTGATGATAGACCACCGCACGTCTACGATCATCTGTAATCTCAACAGCCCGAGACATCCCTCGAGACCAACGGGAAAGAGATGTCAAGGATTTGTGCCATGTCAGGCCAGGCAAATACAGCCGAAAATCACCCTGGTTATGTCTGTCCTCGTAGGCCCGTCTTCCCCGTCCTCCCCATGCAAGACATGAGCGAACCGATACATAGGTTGCCGCTCAAACCATTGCCCAAGCCTGTCTAAAAGCTTAGACCATTGGTTCGTTGATCGTGAGACTAGATGTGATTTCTGACTTTGAGTCATCAACCTGTTGTCTTCCAGACCATCCAGATACGGCCTTGAGAGGAAGTCATCGTAGCTGGCTCCGGTGCAGCTGGTTGTGCTCTCTCCCAGAAAGAGCGGTTCACCTCTGAGACCTGCAGCGGCATATCTAGGGCCGCATCGAACTACATTTAAACGCATCTCAAGAATAGCTAGCGTGTACTGCTGCTCGTGCAGCTTCATCTGACCTGGGACACGATCAGTCTCTTGTACAGGATACTTGTTGCCATTCGCATATCCCTAAAGAAACGAACCCGGTTAATATCCCCAAACCTGAGGCTCGATCTCATTCGCAGGGATAGCAGTATTCCCCGCCATTTTGTCTCTAGCAATGACCTAGATCACCTTCACATGAGCTCGTGTTGAGGAAACTTTTACTCGTTACTACCTGAGGTATCCTATGCAGTCGTTCGTCATACATGTACTATCCATACACATCCAAACAGCCAAGTCATGTCCACTCTGTGGAAGGGTCATAACAATTCAAGCACCAGGCAGAGCCTATGACATGGCTCCCATACTTCTTATACAGGAGTGACCCCGCGTATTCATCGACTCAGCTGTCTTACGCACGCCTCGGACTCTCTGTCGCCTCAAAGCGCATTTGGACTTGCACCTGGAGGCTGTGGCCGTCGGACTGGCTCCGCAGGCTTGATAGGGGGCGTCAGAATCTGATGACGTGGGGACGGCGAAAGCGTCGCCACAGGCGGTAGGACGGCAGGGAGGGCAGGCGTTTTGATGCTTGGGGGCTGCGGACGGGGCGCCGGGGGAGAATGCTTGGTCGGAGAAAGTCCGCCCTCAGGAGCGGGCAGTGTGAATGATGAGTGTGCCGAGCCCGGGATGCCATGCTCGCGGCTGATGATGGGCGTGGCAAGCAGACTGGAGTTTCCATGTCTAGGCGATGAGACGTCCCGCGGTGCTGGTGTGGTTCTCGCCCGCGGTGGGCTTGCAGGCACATGGTCGTGACCGTTCGCCAAGGACTTCTCAGCAGTAGCGTCACGATGAGCTCGCCCATCATCAGCATCATCGTTCTCAGCCTTGGGTGTTTTTGGTTCCGGGCTGGTCTCCTTGGCTCCATTTATCCCTAGAGGTTGGGTCGGTGATCCAGAGCGGCGGCTAGTGATCGCAGACTCTGATAGTGCCCCAATGTCTTGCCCGAGCACCGATTCCCCCCTCGATGGAACCGACCTGTCATGGCCTGTCGGACTCAACTGGCGGTCGCTCTCCTTTGACGGCTGCTTCGCAGGCGAGGACGCCACGTCAGCTGGGCGGTTTACCTTGAGCTTGATAGTCGTCTTTGGTTTTGCCGCAGCCTCTTGCTCACGCCGCTTGCATGGTTGGCAGACGAAATGAAACTCAGGCTTCTCAGCTTCGGTCTCGCTAATGCCAAGGCATTTGCTGTGCTGCCAGACGTTGCACTTCTCGCACGCCACGCTATGTGTGCCGTCGTCAACCTGGCCGTAGACACCGCAGATGCAATCGAAGATCCAGTCTTCCTCCTCGTCTTCTAGCTCCTCCAGTGCTCGCATGTTCTTCTCTATCTCGGCTTGCAGCCGTCGCTCCGAGATACGACCCGAGCCATTGCGGTTGTCTTCTGAAAGCTGAGAAAGTTCGCGTTCATGTTGTAAGCGACGAGCCTCCCGTTCCTTCAGCCGTTTCTCTCGGGATATCAGTCTGAGGTCCCGCTCTTTTTCGATCTTGAGCTGTTGTTGCTCTTGTTTCTTTGCTGCGGCCCGTTGGACTTGAATGACCTTGGCCTCTTCCTGAGCCTTCTCTTCTTGCTTCTGCTGCTCTGCCTTATTCGCGATGCGGCTAGAACGCTTCGCATTTGCCATCTTAGCCAGACTCAACAGTTCTCTCTCTCGCTGCTGCTCCTTGCGCTTCCTCGACTCCTCCTGCTTCTCTAGGATAGGAAGTAAATGCTCTTGCAA